TGGGGGAATCCGGTGAGGCTGGAAGATCAGCTGGGGCTGAGCTCCCAGAATCCCTTGCTTCTGCCCCAGGCCTGCCACATGTAGAAGCGGAGGTGCTGGGGACTTCAGTAGGGGCTGCAAGACAGTAACCAGGAAATTCAGAGCATCCCATAGCTGACCTGCTCACTACCTTGGAAAGATGCAGCCCCAACCCCTTGACCAAAGTAAGGTTCCCTCCCACGCCTTTCCAATAAACATGCCAAGGAGAGATGAATACCTGGTTGGAGAGCGTTTGCACCTTGACAGCATTCCAGGGCACTGCCTGGCCTGGGTTGTATGCAGCCTTCACCAGCACCTTCTCACCCAGCTGGGGCAGCCGGCCCTTCACCACACTGCCAGCACACAAGCCAGGAGACCCAGTCAGGAGAGAAACCCTGGCCAAGCCACCCTGACTGTCCCTATGAGGCCCTTGCCATCAAGATTTCTCACACCTTGCATAACAACAGCAAAGCAATGGCATTATAGGGGACCCACCAGTATGGTGACAGAACTGAATCCAATAAGCATTTCCAGAAGGGGATCAGCCTCAAGCCTACCTTAGCTGAAAAAAGACCTCTTCATCCACCACCCCAAAGTAGTCATGCAAACTGGTAACAATGCCAGTGAAGACCCGCTGCTTCTCTCCACCCTATAAGAGAAGAGTGCAGTTTAAAGGTAATAGGGAGCATTTGTCCATGCTCTGCCATTAGCATCTCATCTTCATCCACCCCGCCCCACCCCCAGCTCAATCAGAGTACTGCACAGATTCCCATGGAAGGATGCATACATATAGAAGGAAGCATATGTACAGTGGACACAATCAATCTACTGGGGGGGGGAGTCATGCGGATTCTTCAGTCATAAGCTTCTTCTAGGATTTCCAGTTAATTCCAAGAAGCACCCTAGAGATCTCTCTAGAGCCAGAACCTAGGACTCCCCAGTCACAGATGTCTAGTCGCCTCTGGACTGGCCGAGCACAAGAGTGTCAGGAAGGATGAACACTGTGATGTAAGAATGAAAACATCGGGCAACCATACATGCTGGGGTAAGTCCCGAGTGCCGAAACTCACTAGATAGGATGCCCAACCTACCTGAAGGTGCCTGGCATTTTGGGACAGGTCTGTGGCCACAGGAGGCGTGAGCAAACCAGGAGGAGGACCCAGAAGAGATGTTGAAGCTGCGCCTATTGGAACACAGAAGCAATCCAGAAACTGCACCTACCATCTTAAGCACTAGATTCAGCTAGAGGAAACGGTAAACCCAAAGAGCAAAGTGGATCCAAGCATGTCCCACATAGGGTTTCACCGACAACTACTGCGGTCATGCTTTTTCTTAAGAAAAGTCAGCAGCAAACTGCACTCCACCACGGAAACCCCAAAAGCCACATTCTGAAAGACTAACTCCAAAACACACACTTCCCAGTACTAGGCCAAGTAGAGATAAAGGTGTTCACCTGAGAAGTTGCGTCCCCCTGGTAGTGGGTTGATCCGCTGGCGCTTAAACTGGGACATTGGGAATGCTGTCCTCTTTCAGAGACTTGGGGAAAAACCTTCAATCAGAAAAGAAATAAATTAACAGCTCATAGGGAAGTTTTCCATCTACCCCCAAAAAGGAACTAAGGATTTTAAGGAAAATGGAGAGATGGATACTGAGAAGGAAAGGAGGAGACGGGTGGTGAGAATATGAAAAGGAGCAGGAAGTGGAGAAATTACAATGTTCCAGTCAGCCCTCACAATAATCTAGGGGTGGGTGATACTGTTATGCTCTTTCAACGAAAAGGAAACTGAAGCTCCGAGAGACTGAGACTTGCCCGAGGCCACATAACCAGGTAGGTACAAAACTAGGACTCACACCCAGATCTCCCGACAACTTAGAGCTCCTCTCACTATGCCACGCCACCCTCAGATGGTTGGGGAGAGTGGAGGGTTGGAAAGAGCCCCGATGACATTCATTCATTCAATGCATCCGCCAAAGAGTTCCACGCAAGGCCCGGAAAAATGGAGGAGGCTGCTGCCGGAGAGGAGATGGTGTGGGCCCTCTCCCCGGAAGCCCGGCCCGTTGTTACCCGGACGGGCGGGTGGGAAGACAGCTCCGTGGCCCGGCCGAACGCGAATCCGGCTGCGCGCCCGCCCTCTTGCTCCCGCGCTCCCCGGCCCTCGGCTCCCGCCTCATCAGCCGCCGGCGCCGAGTATCCCGGGGCGGGCCGCGGCCAGGCCACCGTGGGAGGACGAAGGCGCGCGGTTTCTCCTCCTCCCGCCCGCCCCCAGGGCCGAGACCGTTGCCAGGGAGACGGAACTTGCAGGCCGAAGGGGGGCTCGGCCCGTTCCGCGCCCGGTTCATCTTCGAGGCCCGGCCCTCGCAGCCCCTCGGCCAGGGGAGGGGCGAAGAGGCAGAGGGGCGGCGGAAGGCCCCCCAACCCACCTGCGGGCCAGGGCCGCGACACCGGGGGGACAAAGACACCCGGAACCACCACAGCCGCTGCTGCTGCCGCCACCGGAAACGCCTCTCCGGAAGCGCGACCACTGGTCGGAAGCTGCCTTTCTCCCGGATATGGTCCCTCCCTCCTCTCCACTGACCTGTCCCTTCCCCCACCCCGGCCTGCCATCCCGCTCCAACTGTGGAGCGGAAGTGCGCTTTCCCCGATCGGATGCGCGTTAGGAAGCCGCGCCTCAGTGGTGTCCTCTCTTACGTGTCCCATTAGAAAAGCAGGCTTCGGAGAATTGGTTCCTGGTCCCAGGACTGCTGGAGCTGGAGCCCCAAACACAAGGGAGCACCTATGCCTCATTCTGGCAGATCCCAAGACCGCAGCAGCAAGAGAACCAGCTGACTGGAGGAGGAGGAGGAGAACCAGCTGACCTCCTCCTGACTGGAGGAGGAGGAGGATGCATGATCAGTGGCCATTTCCAGAAGTCGTCCCTGTGTCTGATTCAACCATCCCTAGCCCTACCCTTCTGTTGACGGCACAGCCCTCCCCACAAACCTCCTGCGTACCTGCAGGAGACTAAACTTTCCCCCTTTCTCAATTAACAAAGAGCTAGGAACCTAATAGGCTATATAGTAAGATAAACCTCCACAATATTTAGGTATACATTTACAAAGAGTTCTCACAACCATTTCCTTTAGTCCTCACATCAACCCTTGGGGGATAAGGAGGTCAGGAATTAGTGTCCTAATTCTCAGCTATGAAACCTGAGAGACTTCAATGAAATGACTTGCTCAAAGTCTTGCCGCTAATCACTGGCCATTTTAGTCCCCATTAGCAATCCCAGTTCCCCCTTACCCTCTGACCTTCCCATCACCCTCCAGTCTAGCCTCCCTCCAACACACTTCCCTATTCATTTAACATTCACCAAGCACTTTGAGACAGTTTAATCTCACTTTACCCTCAAAACAAGCCTGTGAGGTAGGTAGGACAGGCATCATTATACCATTTGGGAGATTAAGTGGGAAGATATGGCTCAGAAAATTTAAGGGATTTTTGTCAAGGTCTAAAAGCTAGTATGGGCCTCTGGTTTCAGCTGTGACGTGGAAAGGCTAGTAAGGAGTAAAGCAGCTGAGAATAGACCTTGAAGATTACTCTGCTGTTCCCCATGTTGTCCTTGACTCCCACCCCTGGTGCAGTCTTCAGGCAAGATTCAATGCAGAGGCAGCCAAGAGAGCACCCTTCTCTGTCCTGGGGCTGCCCATGCAAGTATGAGGAGGAAGGGAGGACTCCAGATCAGTAACTGCCCGCTCAGGAGTGAAGGTCAAGTCCATCGTTCTGCAGTTACCTCACCCTGAAGACTGACTCTTGGAGTGCATGATTCCAGAGAGATGGTTGGATCCAGCCAGTTCACAACACTGACAGTCCCACAGTCCCCAGCGACACGCTGGGCCCCGACAGATCACCACGCCAAACACACTCCATGGACGCCAGATGAATCAGTAAGTTCACATTGCCTAAGCCCAGGGATTTCTGGCAACCAGGGAGGAGCCCGAGAGCTGCTGCACCTTGGGGCCTCTCAGGGACCCAGGGTTCCTTGGCTGCTCAGAGGAGAAAGACTCAGCCCTTGCCTCAGAGACAAAACTGAGGGTCAACAGCTTTTCCTGGCAGTGCCCAGAAGCAGCAACAGGGCAGAGGGCGAGGAAGAAGACTTCACTGCACTCCCCCCCAGCTGGGGTTACATCCCTGCACCAGGAAGTCTCAGCATACAGTAAGGTTTTTTGCTCGTTGCTTCTTAACCACTAATGATGGCATAAAGGTCTTCTGGAGGGTTTGGCCTGGAGGCCTTTCAGGGAGGTCCCTTGATGCAATCCTGTGGAGAAAGAAAGGAGGCACTAGGCTAGGAGGAGGAAACAAAGGTAACGATGGTCCCAGAGTTGACCAAGCATTGTAGGAGGCCTGGGGATATTAACTGACAGGGATAATCTCCCCTGGAGAATTATTCAGTATAGACCCCTACCCCCCAACCCCCGGCATCCACTGTGGCATCCTTGCTTTCCTGGGGAAACCCAGGGAGGTGACCTAAGTTTCAGCTTTGAGGGGTGAGGGCTTGCTGGGCTTATGTGAGGATTTCCCATCTTTTGGTCCTGGCTCTGCCACTGACTCACCATGTGGCCTCGGGAAAATGACTTCCGTCCCCAGCCCAGTCCTCAGCCTCCTCATCCATAAACGGGGTGCTTTAACCACTTTCTGTTTCTTCCAGCACCCTCTCCAAGACTACGTCTCTCAAATTTTGCAGGGACGAAGATAACAACTGGCAGCGCAATCTTGGCATCCTAGCTCATCAGGCTCCTCCCTCTGCCCTGGGCTGAGCCACAGGACTCACCTGGGGGCAGAGCCATCAGGAGGGGCAGCGGCTTCAGCAGGTCGAGGGCTCCTCCACCGGATCCGGTTGAGCAGGACCTTTACCTTGTTCCAGTGGGAGAGATCCCGCTGAGCAGAGGGTGAGAGGGTCACCCAGGGCCCCTCCCCAAAACGTACCCCTGACCAAGCTCCCAGAGATAGCTGTCAGCACAGCCAAAGCAAATCACCTGTTCCAAACAGGTGATCTCGTTTTCTAGCACACATCCCAACCACCCCCGACCTCCACCGCATCCTGTCACCTGCCCCCACGTACGTCCCTCACCTACCCTGTGCCCCTGGGAGGATGGAAAGGTGTGAGCTGGCTCTGCCAGGGCCTCTGACAGCCTGGAAGGGCTGGCGCTGGGCACCCCTACCTTTGGGGGTGAAGCTGTGCTTGCTCCTTCGGAAAGAGAATCCAGTTACCCAAGGCCAGGAACAGGAAGGCACTCGTCAAGCCCAGAGCTCAGGGGGTCTGCCTATGGGGACCTGGGCAGGCAAGATACAGACAGAGACACAACTGCGCCTCACCTGTCTCCTCTGTCTGGCTGAGCCGCTCCCACCGCCCGTGCACCTCACTGCCCGGGGCGTGAGAGGGTGGAGGTGAAGGCGCCAGGGCCGGCTCCTCCTCTTTAGGATCCTGTGCACAGGAGAGACGGGCTTTCAGGGCCTGGCTAGAGGGCTGAGGCTGTTCTGAAGGGAGTCCTGGTTCCAGGGGTCCCTCCCCATCCTCTGCATCCCCCACTCACCTGCCTGCCCGCTGGCCCGACTGCCCACAGCTCACTCACCCCAGGGGCCCTCTGAGTCTGCAGCTGCAGGCAGAGCTGCTGCAGCCTCGCCATCTGCTCCAGCACCAGGCACAGGTGTTCCAGGTAGCGAAGACCCTGCCCTGGGAGGCAGGCCCAGGCTTCAGGCCCCAAGCCCCCCACCTGTGGGACGTAGTGAGGTAGGGGAGAATTCTGAACTCAACCAGACTCGCACCCTAAGGGGCCAGCAGATGGGGGCAGGATGAGTGAGAGGAGGGACGCACACCCAGCTGGCCTCCCAGTGCCCAGCCAGGCAAAGTGCCAAGCAGGCCCCGGACCTGCCCACCTCCACACAGCTGGGGGCGGGGTGAGGCAAGACGTTCTCACACAACACATCAATGAGGGGTAAGGAAAGCCCCACCCCGAGAGAGCTCCAGGGAAAAGAAGTTAGGGGGCGGAGGCATCTCCATCCCACGCCTGAGAGTTGGCACTCACCACCTCTGCTTCTTCCAGGCCTGCCTCTAGGTCACTCTCTGCCTTGGTGGCCTCCTGTCCTCCTGCTCCAAAAAGGGGCATTTCATACTCAGGGTTGCTTGGCGGCTTTGGGGAGCGGTAGTGTGAGAAGCTGGCAGAGGAAGTCGGGAGCTGGCGGGACCGCTCCAGCACCTGCTCCAGCTTACGGCTGGCTAGAAGCCGGCTTAGGCGGGAAGGAGGCTCCATGGCACCCAGAGCCAGGGGCTCAGCGTTCCGCGTGGGCTCAGAGTTCAGAGAGTCTTGAGAAAGGCCCGGTGAGGTGGCTAGGGACCTGTCCCCAACCGCCATCTCCACTCCTGAGTCCTGGGAGGCCAGTTTGAGAAGCGGCACCTGCCTCCCAGGTGCTCTCAGCCGGCCGTGCCCCTTGCAGGAGTCTGCCGACCACCCTGGGGCGGCATCCGGGATCCGTCTGTAGGTGCTGGTGACTCCAGGCACTACACAACCACGTGCCAGGTCCTCGCCAGCCCCATCTGCAAGGAGAGTCAGTCATCAGGCTGGGCAGGCTGCCCCAACACCCCAGGCATTCCTGGCAGCTGGCGACATTCCCTAAGGAGGAGTGTCCTGGGCCAGAGGTGACAGGAGGAGACTGGTCGGCCACAGCCCCGCCCAGCTCTCTCTCCAACCCTGGCTGGGAGATGTTAGAATGGGGTTCCCTTTACAAAAGTAATTGTTAGTGATATCTGCCTTGGAGGGGTGAGCACTTTTTCTTCCAGGGAGCCCTCGTGCTCCAGCCCCTGAGCTTGGCCTAAGACCTCTGAGCCATAACTGGTGAGCGGTAGCCTCTTCAAGTGCTCCCCATGGGGAAGTATGACTGTGCCCCAGCCTCAGGGAGAGGGGGAAAGGCGCAAAGAGGGAAGCCTGGGCCCAAACTGGCATCAGGATGCAAAAGGAAGTCCATCCTGGAATTCCTGGGGGCAGTTGGGTAGTAAAAATAACAATCGCTATAACCATTTTGGACTTTTGTTCTTTTAAGTAAGAAACAGAAGGTTTTGGAGAGTTGAAAAGGAAAAACTTAAACGGAAGAAAGGGAACCAGGCGGGCAGGAGGAGAAACAGCGTGATCGCCCATTCGCTGTCCTCTCCTACAGCTCTCCTGGCCTGTGCCAGGCTCTCCTGCGATCTGGGTGCCCCGATTGTAAGGATGCAGAAACGGAGGCTGGAGACGATGGAGGGCCGCCTTCGTCTCCCTGCCCGGCACGCGGGAGAGCTGGAACGGGATGCCAAACCAGGCCCCTCTGGGCAAGGAAGTCGACCAGGAAGTCCACCCCTGCGCGGCTCCTTTGGAAAGGGGTCCGCCGCCGCGGAGAGAGCTTTTCGCAACTGCGGGCTGGGGCAGGGGCCGGTCAGAGGAGGATCCAGACCGGGAATTAGAGGGAAGTGGACCCGGAGGAAATGGGATGGAGGTGGCGGTCGGTTTAACGCCAGAAGCCAGAGGGTCTCCAACGGGCAAGGCGCGATCCCCCGGCCCTTCCTAAGGGAAGCGGCGAGGAGGGCGCAGCGAGGTCGGGCGGGCTGTGCCGGGTGGGGCGGGGAGCGCGGACAGGGGCCCGGGCGCGGGAGTCGGCTCCAGGCCAAAGGTCCCGGCCGGCCCCGGGGTGGGCGACTCACCCCGGCCGCCCAGCGGCTCCACGGCGAAGACGCGCCGCCGGCCCAGCATGGCCCCAATCCCGGCCCCGACACGGCGCCCCGGCCGTGGCCGCTGCAGCCGGACGGAGCGATCCCGGCCGGCGTCCCCACGCCGCTGTCGGGTGCGCGTCCGGACCTGGCTGGGCGAGGCCCCCGGACACTCCCAGCGGGGATGGGGGAGGGACGGCGGGAGGGGTGCGCAGGTGTGCGGGAGCTCGGAGAGGGGCCGCGGGGGCGGGGCCTGGTCCCACTCCCCCCCCCCCCCCCCCCCCC